TGAGCATCAACCTATGAACCAGGAGGTCATGGTTCTATTCCAGTCAGTGCATAGACCATGGTCTCTCAATCTCTCTCTCTCTCTCTCTCTCTCTCTCTCTCTCTCTCTCTCTCTCTCTCTCTCTCTCTCTGTCTCTTTCTCTCTCTTCCTCTGAAATCAATAAACATTTAAGTAAAATAAGGTTTATAGTATAGAGACTGCTTTGGCTACTCTAGCTTAGGAGGTTAAGGATGGCTTCTCTAAACAGGTAAGAATGGAAATGAACTTGAATGATTATAAATTCTCAGACACATGGAGATGCAAGAGAAGAATAGTCCAAGTAGAGAAAAAATCAAGTGTGGAGGCCCTGTGAAAGAAGCAGGCTTGCCATTGGAGGAGCAACAGCAAATTCCAAAACAGTGCGGCTGGAATATTCAAGGAAGGAGAGTTGTATGAGGCGAAACTGGAGAAAGGTTATGTGATACTTCTTATTCCCTGCTAGGACCTAGAACCAGGCTTGGTCCATGATTGGTACTTAATAACTTTGTGTTGAATGAATGAATGAAGTTGGAAGGATTTGAGTTAGACAGTCTCAAAGTTTCATCAGGGTGGGGATCAGAACATGTAGGGCTTTGCAAGGCCAGGTTAAAGGAGTTGAAACTTTATTCTAATCACCAGAAGAAGGCATTGGAGGTTTTTAAGCAGGGAAATTGTGTGAGCTGATTTATGCTTTGAAAACATCATTGTTGTGGGGAATAGACGGCAGGAGAATAAAGTGAAATGCCCAGTATCTTCCATTGCTCTTCTAGATCCACTTTCTACCTTCTGCACTGAGTTCAGGAGGCTGACATAGATAGACTCTAACTTCTGGCTTCAAGTTGTGTTCAACCAATGGGGTTTTCAGAGACCATCAGAGAGAGAGAGGAGCTCTCTTCAACTGACTTTGCTATCTATATCCTTCTAAGAGCTAACTGAGAAAACTAGAAACTGGCAAACCAGTTAGGAAGCTTAGTAGTGGGCTAGACAATAGATGATGGTATCCCAATTTATTATTTATTGTGGAGGTCAATTTTCCTATTTACAGGTAAATCTGAACGTATTTGCTCATGGATTGGGTGTCAGGATAGAGGTGGTGAGAAAAAAGAAAAATCAAGAACTTTTCCTAGTTTTGTCTTGGCTATGGCACCATTAAATGAGTGAGGAAGACTGAGAAGAGAGCAGAATTGGGGTGATATTGGAGAGGCAGAATCTTAAGTTCCATGTAGACATGTTTAGGTCAAGATACCTATTTGCATTTCAGCAGACATATTGAGTAAGAATAGCGGAGAGATTAGAGCTTAGGATTTAAATTTTCAACTCATCAGTATAAACTTTTTTTAGACAATTATGATTTGAACAAAATTTACATGAAGTTTATGAAAGAAATTTAATAATTCGCAAAATGGAAAGCATTGTGGAGAGCACAGTCCTTAAGTCTGGCACTTAAGCAGTCTGGCAAATGCTCAGGAATCAATAAAGCACATGGTTTGTTGTCTAGATATAAAAGAGTTCTGAAGACAGCCTGAACAATGAAGGTTATAATGAATCTGGTGATAGAATAACTGGTTGGTTAGAAGTGATAATTGGAAAGAAATAGGAAAAGGCTGAATATAATTAGTCACACAAAAGACTTTAAAACCTTAGTTATCCTCAGTAACAAGAATGTTTATTCAGAATAAATTGAATTCTTAGGTGCTAATTTAAAATTAAAAAAAAAAATCCCCCAACCAATAGATTCAATTTTATTCCACAAATATTATTGAGGATTTATATTCACAAAAAGCACTTCACAGTACGGTGTGGGTACAAATGCATTCAAGAAGTAAAATACTTCAAGACTTTATTGAACTACTACTAAACAAGAACTAAAATAAAAGTTTGCTTCTCTGATAAATAAAAAGGCCAGGGAATCACCAAAATGAGCCAGAGAAGCCAAAGGCCTGAGCCACCTCAGGTTGAATCATTAGCTTCGAAGCCCTAGATTTTTCCTTAAGACTCAATGATGACATGCTAGGCAAGTCTTGGAAGAAACTGTTTAATCTGTGATGAGTAACAATTGGCTGTAGACCACCATATGTAGCCTCCCCCACCACCCAGCCAGTGGCACAGCCTAGAAGCTATGCTCAATGTAGCCTTTCAGCTCAGAAATCGAAGTGTCTAAAGAGAATACATTTCCAGGCCTACCATAGTGCAGATGAGCTGCTTTAGAATGTTGGTCCCCAAGCTGGATCATAGGCTGCTTCCTGCTGGTTAAAAGCAGTCACAGAGTGGAGGCTGAGGATTGACTTTCAAAGCACAGCCCCTCCAGTGGGGGTGAGGGGAAGACCAGGCTCGTAGCAGGCTTGGGGCTTGCAAGGGCTAGGCCCTCAGCATGAAGCAGCAATCAGAGTACCCTTCATACAAACAGAGCAGTTCCTACAACCACAAGGAAGAGAAACCAAGCATGGGCTCATTCTTCAGTTGTGTCCATCACCCCAGCCCAGAGAACATGCTCAGTACGGGGCCTGAGTTAAGTCACTTCACCTGTTTAGCCTTAGCATTTTCACCTGTAAAGTGGGGACAAGACTTACCTCATTGGATGGATTCACCTTTATCCTAGTCTTCTTTTATTCACTAAGTAGTTGAATCCAACCATAAGAAAGTACTTTTTTTCCCCCCAACGGAACTCAATAGGTCTTTCTCATTTCAAAAACTTTAATTTTTTGAAATGCAAATGAAGGTTGTTTACCACTATATTAGATGGTCTGAAAGGCTCTCGGGTTAAATGATCTAACAAGACCTGGCCAGTGTTGCTCAGTTGGTTGCACCATGCACCAATAGGTTGCCAGGACGATACCCATTCAGAGCACATGCCCTTGTTGCCAGCTCTATCCCCAGTAGGGGGTGCGCTGGAGGCAGCCAATCAATGTTTCTCTCATGAATTATTTCTTTCTCTTCCCCTCTCCCTTCTTATTTAAATTAATAAAAACATATCAGAAAGAATATATGCACCCCTATATTCAAGCAGCACTAGGCACAATAGCTAAGATTTAGAAACAGCCCAAGTGCCCATCAGTAGAGGAGTGGATAAAAAAGATGTGGTACATTTATACAATGGCATACTATGCAGCTATAAAAAAGAAGGATCTCTTACCCTTTGAGACAGCATGGAGGCACCTGGAGAGTATTATGCTAAAGGAAATAAGCCATTCAGAGAAAGGCAAGTATCACATGATCTCACTTACATGTGGAATTCTATGAACAAAATAAACTGATAAACAAAATAGATCCAGAGACATGGAAGCATGGAACAGACTGAAGAATCTCAGATGGACGGGGGCAGGGTGATTAACCAAAGAATTTATATGCATATATGTATAACCCATGTTCACAGACAATAGTACTGTGAAGGTGCTCAGTGATGGGGGGGGGGTGGGGGGAGAAAGAGGTGGGAGGAAAGGTGGGGAGGGAATCCAGCCATAAGAAAGTACTTTTTCTTATGGAAGTACTTAGATGAGTAGAAGGACTCAATGGGGGAGAAAAGGAGGCATATGTAATATTTTCCACAATAGAGATAAATCAAAAATAAAATTAAAAAATAAAGAAACATAGCAAAAAATATAATAAAACATTTTTTAAAGGGCCTTGACCTGAAGCCATTCACAACTCTAAACAAAGGGCACTTTTGTTCCAGGGGGATCCAAACAACCACTGGTTCTAAGAGAGGCCTCTCTGGGTCCCTGGATGTCCCCTCTATGGTTATCTCACTAGCATTCCCATTGGCAATGGCAGAGGGGCATTCTTTGAGAGATGGTTCTCAACCCTGGTTGCAGAATGACCTGGGAGAATTATTTTTTATTTTTGTTTTAAAAACTGATATCTGAGACCCATCTCCCAGAGTTTCTGATTTAATGATTAAATTTCTGATTAAATGTAAGACCTCAGTACTTCACACACACACACACACACACACACACACACACACAAAAGCCATTTTACAAAGCATCTAAGGTTGGGACCATTGAGGAATGGATGGCAGCTACAGTCTGCTAATTATGCTCAAGGACATGTATCACCACTCTACTTTCATCTGGGGCACAAATGTCCCTTGCAGTTCTGAATTCAGTGCACTGAGCACAGACCCCAAATGCTAAGTGGCCACTGAGGGAGCAGGGGCAGCACTTGGTCACCTGGCCATTCCTACCTTCAAGGGAGGTGGCCACATCTAGGCTGTCGGCTAAAAAGTCACATGTGCAGTTACAAATTGCGGTCCCCTTTGCTATTGCAAGGGAAGGGCAAAGATTTGCAACCACAGCCAACACTCTGTGTCGGTGGGGTCCTTTCTCCCTTCTCGAACAAGTGGATTAGAACTATGAGGTTACACATAGGCAGTGTGTTTGGGGTCCTGCTAAAAACCACTGAAATAAGGCTATTTTTCTTGTATCTCAAAGTATCAGTGCCTCTTGCTCCCATGGCCCTAAGAAATCACAAGTCCAACAAGAAAAGTGTTCCCGGGGAGTTCAGCACACCAGGCCTCACGTTTAATGCCCCTCCGATGGGGTGGCATGAGCGCTTACACTCAGAAAGGGCTGCCTTCTCTGCAGATGAGTTCCTCCAGAGCAGGCACGCTCTCTTGTTTCTTCAGGAAGCAGCACAGATTATTTTCACTGGATCGTAAATATGCTTAACACTCTATTGTACTAACCTTTTAAACCAGTTGTTTGGGGTGGCTACAAATCATCGTTCAAAAGCAAATTTTAAGATTTAAATGCTCTTGGAATTCCTAGGCGCTCCAGTTAAATACTTGAAATACATTGCTCCAAAATGTATTTCATGGAGAGGAAGCGAAATCGTTTGGGCTGGTTCCTGGTTTTTCTTCTTTTTCTGTTTTGTTTTGTTTTTTTCTTTTTTCACTCTTTACTCAACCAAGGCCAAGGCAAAACTTGGCACTCCAACACACCACTCTTATGTTGGGTTGACTTTCCTTCCCTGCCCAGTGCTCCAGGACCTGTGGAGGGGGCGTCCAGAGGCGTGAGGTGCTTTGCAAGCAGCGCATGGCCGATGGCAGCTTCCTGGAGCTTCCCGAGACCTTCTGTTCAGCCTCAAAACTGGCCTCCCAGCAAGCCTGCAAGAAAGAGGACTGTCCCAGCGAATGGCTCCTCTCTGACTGGTCAGAGGTATGTGTGGTAGAAGGAGATGATGAAAGAGGCATCAATAAGGAGGAAAGGGAGGCAAGAACAGAACAAAATAATCCTCCTAACATTATGGAGCCAAATTATTGTAACCATTTACACCATCCTGTGTGACTAACTTTTAACTAGTCTACAGGGATGTGAGCTAAGCAGCCGGCCCTTGTTCAGCAATCTGAAGCATGCAATCAAAAACAGGTTCCTCATGGAACAAGACCAGGCCTCACTCATGCTGTTTGGGCTCAGGATTCTTCTCAGAACATAAGCTTCTTCTCCCTCTGTCTCCAAACGTGCCTTCCTGACCTCCCCACACCTCCTACTCCAGGATGTTTCTAGTCTCTACATAGGAAGGGCCAAGGCTCTCAAGTTCTTCTCTTCCACGTTACTAGGCAATCAGGAACATAACTTATTTAGAAAAGAAGGCCAAGGAAATCTTGCCTCTTTCCTGGCCGTTTTCTGGCTCCAAACTTCAACAACTTCCCAGCAAGATAACTTGATTTCCCCTCTTGTCTTGCTTTTACGGAGATGATTGCATCAGCCTTCACCCTTCCTGACTTGCCTCAAAAGTTAAGGATATGTCCCCAACTAATCTGTCTAAATAATTCCTATTCTAACACAGCATCAATTCATTCATTTAAACCCAGCTCAACTGATCCGTTTTCAGCCCCGACATCTTTCTGAATTGCCTACAACAGACCAGTGTGTCTTCCATAGAGAAGGCCCCCTTTCCCCAAATTGTTGCCCCTCGGGCAAATTTAGCCAAGAATCACTAGGCCTGAAGTGTTATGTCAAAATCAGATTCAAGGCCCTCTCCCTCTTTTTTTTTTTTTTTTTTTTTTTTTTTTTTTTTTTTTTTTTTTTTTTTTTGCATAGGGCAGCATTTGAATTGGCTTTGCTGACTCCTTTGCCTTCTTTGCTTGATATACAAGCTTCTGGCTGAAATACATCACAAGGCACTTGCTTCCACCAAGGGGGAGCTGCCTCTGAAAATTAAGATGCCAGCTCTATCAACATAGGTGCTTAGAATTCTTGTCCCACATTTTATCAACCCATATAGAGTCCCATCAGATGAGGCCTGCTAAGGACATTGCGATTGAGAGTTAGCCTGCATCATCGTAAGTTTTATAATTTAGCAGTAAAATTGCCTTCTGGTGGTTTCTTACCCCTAAATATCTCAGAACAATAAAATGTCATGTTTTAGAAACAGGATAAAGGGAAAGGTTGTGTAAAATATATGCATTTTGTGTGTGTGTGTGTGTGTGTGTGTGTGTGTAAATTTTCCCATGGAGTGATGATTTTGGGCATGATATTAGATATGAAAAAAGTCGTGATAAATATCGCAGTGCAGGAAAGAGCCCTGGTATATTTGCCAAGTATGAGGCTCCAGATGAAGACCTCCTCCCTGGGAGAACTGCACAAGGCATTGCTCTCCTACGTCCATGGGCGATAGTCTGCCATGAATGGAATGCTGATTCTGTGATTATAATTGTTCTCCCGTGTTCCTGGACTTCGTAGTCCCTGAGCATATAGGACACAGAATCCAGAAAATGTCCTTTTTGGCCTGCAGACTTGAAGGAGGAACCCTTGTGATTAGGCACTAGGGAAAGGAGACTGCTGAATTAAGGTCCCATGGCAACCACTAAGTAGAGCAGACCTTTACTTAGTTTCTATTGCTGCCTCTACTACTTCCTGGTTGTATTTGACATTCCCACCAATAATGTATGAAAGCTCTGATATCCTTGGGCTAGTTACTTAACCTTTCATGGCCTTAGTTCACTTATCTAAATGTTGGAGATAATCATAGTGTCCACCTTTATGATTATCAGGAGGCTTAAACTAAATGATGCATATAAAGTGTTTTGTGCCTACTGAAAGTTAGCCATAGTTATTGTCATGATTATCTTCCATCCCTGCACATTGTCGGGAAGAGAGATAATAAAAGAAAAGACTCACCTTGACTGGCTAGAATAGGGATCATGACATAAACCTCCCCAGCCTTTTCCAGTCTTCCTAGGAAGAGGAAGGTGCATTGTGGGAACTAGAAATCATTCGTGATTATCGAAGGGATATTATTAGATTCTGAGCTATTGGGGTTGATGAATGGAAATTCCAAACATTGAGGAGGGGCTGAGAATGGTGGGAAGTGATCAAGGGGATGAAACTCACACTGGTGCCATAGAAAAGTGCCCTGCAGGTGTTCACAGAGGCTCCAGTTGGCCCTGTCATTCCTACTCTGGGCCCCATGGTTGAGAAGCATTCCACACAAACCAGTACATCCCATTGCCCCCAGGAGGAAGGAAGCCCTGGATGATTTATGAGTGTCTTTATCCCTCACTATCTGCCTCAATCTCCTGGTTACTGCACAGAATCCCTCAGAGGCAGAATTAAGCCAAAGGTTTAGACACCGTAAGTAAAATTACTCTCAGATTCTATTCTGAGAATAAGACCCTCAAAAGGCCTTATCTCTTTTATGTAAAAGAAACCCTTCCATCTCCTGAAAGAGTTAGCTAGTGAATATTTTTAAATCTTATTTTTAGGGAAGTTGTTCCCCACCCCACCCCACCCCCCAAAAAAAGTTTAAATAAAATAAAGTCAGAGTGGTATATTTTGAAGCTAGAGGGAACTTGGAAGAACCCATAGCTTAGTTGTTCTTTTAAAAATTAGTCACAGCACTCTAAATTTCTAAATTGAAATGTTACTATGAAGCCAAAAATCTAAAACAGATCAAGTTGGCGCTGTTTTTGTGGAAGTGTGGGTAGTGGTCCCAGATTTCCAACGGATGGGTCTTCAGTTCATATGAGAAGCCCCTAAATCACTCACTTAACATAGTTACAGAACACAGTTTGAAACTCCCTGCTCTAGCTTAGTCTCCCTATTTTAGCAAAGTGGAAATTGAGCCTAGAGAAAGAACTAGACTTGACCAATATCATAAATCGATCGTCTGACATACAGTCTATTTTTCTACTAAGCAGCACTAAAATGGTCATGCTTTCAAATTTTCCATGCTCTTTACCTCTATTCTACCTGATCCCTGGATTTGGTGCTGTCATTTACAATGAAATAAGGGATGAGTGGAATCTGGAATCTATAATCATTGGGGGAACAAAACCAATAGGTTTGACTCTCATCCCCATTTTTTGCATCTTAAATGTCTCTCAGAGTAGTGTGGATCATAGAACTTTGCATGGAGTAGTTTGTTTCAATGGGCTAGCATATAATACTTGAAAAGATAAGATAATATATTTTTGGCTTTTACTGTCATTTTTTAAGTTACCATGGCACACTGCCATGACCCTAGTTCAGGCCTTTATCATCTCAAACCTGGACTACTGTGTCAGCGTCCTTAACTGATAGCCCTACCTGCCATCCATCTTCTACTCCCATCCCTCCTGGACACTGTTGCCAGATTAACCTTCTCAAAACACCTCTTTCATCATTTCACTCCTCCCTTCTATGGCTCCTCTTTGCTTTATGGACCAATTCCAAACCTCCTGTCTGAAAAATTAAAAGTCTCCCAATGTCTGGCCTTTTGAACTCCTGACGCTCTCGATAGGATCCTTCTGCTCAAAGCGGTTGAGCTCTGCCCCCAAACCTGCCTTGGACTTCTGCACTGAACGGTTCTACCTTTGTTCTGGTTATGTACCTGTCTCCCATGCTAATCCCTGGTTCTCTACACCTGTCTAGACTCTATCCACATTCAAGGTCAGGAAATCCCCAGTGTACCATAAGCATTCAACAATTGTTAGAATTAACTTTATAGTGCCTCACTTGTCCTTTAGGTTTGTATTTTTACTAAAATTTTATTACTATTTGACTCTTTAAACAGCTTAACTGAAGTATAATTTGAATACTACAAATTTTAGTTTAGCATAATGTTTTCAAGGTTTATTCACGTTGTAGCACATAGAACTAAATTTCTATTTGATAGAATAATATTCCATTTTATAGATATACCACATTTTGTTTATCCATTTCCCAATTAATGGACATTTGACTTGTTCACTTTTTTGTCTGTTATGAATATGCTGCTATGAATATTAACATACAAATCTTTGTATGGATGTATTATTTTCATGTCTCTTGGTTAGATACTTAAGAATGAAATTGCTGGGTCTCGTTATAAATTTATATTTAACTTTTTAAGAAACTATTTAAAAAAATTTTTTTAAATGTTTTCCAAGAGGACTATGTTATTTTATGTTCCTACTAGCAATATATGAAGGCTCTAATTTTTCCACATCCTCACCAATACTTATTATTATTACCTGTTCTTTTTTATGATAGCCATTTTAATGAATATGAAGTGGTATCTCAATGTGCTTTTGATTTCTATTTCCCTAAAGTACTATTTCATTTTAATAATGTATTTGTAATTTTTCCTTCATTTGATGACAGCCCCTTGGCATTAGGAACTATCTTGAATGGTTTTTTTTCTATAGTATCTAGCACCCTACCTCAAATGATGTAGATATATAACAATTATCTGATGCTTGCACTGGAGTGATGGACATACAGTCTATTTTTCTACTAAGCAGCACTAAATGGCCATGCTTTCAAAATTCCTGGGGTGGGAATGGCTGGGAGGAGGGTGTCGCTTGGGAGAAAATGAGACATGTAAAACTTTAGACAGTAAAAAAAAAAAAAAAAAAAAAAAAAAAAAAAAAAATTAAAAATGTTATCTGATGCTTGACATTAAAAATATTTTAACTTATTTGTGAAGAAAGGAGAAATGAATTAGCATTGAATGCCAGTTCTGTGCATGACACTTGAAATATATTACCTCATTTAATGCCCAACCTTGCAAAATGAGCACAAGAAGTGGAAATAGCCTCAGACAGTTTAAATAACTTACCAAGTAATGAAATACTGAGATGGATTTGAACACTGGACTCTAACTCAGTAACTCTAAAGCCTAGGCCACAGATCTAAACAGGTG